CCGCCCCGTAGGGGCCGGGCCGTGTGTGCAAACGGGCGCTGTGAGCGTGGCGGGGGTGTGCGGGAGCCGCTGCGGAGCCCTGACCCTGACCCTGGAGGCTTGGTCACTCGGGACGGGCGGGAAAGGGGGGCACAAAAGGTAGAGGCGCGCAGCAGCACGAGCAGTACCCTAAAAGCCTTGGCAATGGATGCGTTGGGTTTTCTGCTTGCAAAGAAAAGATTAATATTTCACAATTCTATTAAAGAGAAAATTAGTAATCAAGTTGCGCTACTAAAGATACGAATTCAGTTGTGCCTAGCTTTAGAAATAAAGGTGTAGTGGTGAGGAACAAGCTACCTCTGTGCAATGAAATCTTAGTGAATTCCTGTGTCCTGGACCCTAGGATGACACCCACGGTAAATGATACTTTACACTTCTGGAACATAAGGTGTGGTGAAGCTGCATGTTTTCTGCCAAAGATTTTTTTCTACTTGGTAGTGTTTTGTGTATTTACATAGTTTCACTAAAATATTAAAAGTTAGGAGATGACAATGCAGTCTCGTTAATCTTTCAGGGGGACTGAAGACATGCACCCGATATGACTCTTCAGGAACTGGTGAATCGGGCATCTAGCCTGTACTCTGATAGAAAAGCAGTTTGCTTTGATGAATGCAATGACAAACCTCCAACTTTCTACACATATGCAACGGTGGTTAAGCTTGCCATGGAGTTAACAGCTTTCCTTCAAAAGTACTGTGATCAGCAAGGAAAATGTGAAATAGGCCTTTACTGCTATCCAGGAATAAACTTACCATCTTGGATCTTAGGGTAATGGTTTCAATGCTTGCAATCTGTGTTGGTTTTTTAAGGGTCATCTCTATAAAAGCAAATTTTCAGTTTGTTTGTATTTTCAATAACAACAAAAATGCAGTAATACCGTAGTAATATGGTTGAGAGGCATTGGAGTCTTGCATTCTTTAAGAAAAGAAATGGCAGCACTATAGTCTTTTGAAAAGCCACTGCTAAAGTTTTTTGAATCTTAAGTTCTAATTTAAAGTGTATGTAACTATATCCATTTTCTTAACAGTGTATGATTAAGCATATTTATAGAAATTTAAAAAGGTAATGACTAGTATCTTTGATGTTCTTGTTTAAAAATGGAGGTGATCTAGCAGAATAAATATGTATATATAGAAAAAGGAGTATGCAGGGTTTTTAATGTGTTCTTGTCTTACTAGCAAGAAAAAAAATGCATTAAAATAAATATCATGCTTTAAGGTAAATGAGTATACAGCTACCGTTCCATTACAAATACTGTATAAAACAGTAATGAGCAATGCAGCACTAAAGTGACATTGATTATTTAATGGCTAGGACATTGAAATGTTTATGATCTCAACACTCATGTTAATTCAGCAGTTTTAAAAATCCTACTCCTGTTGATGAATTCTAGTGTTTGTATCCTTTATATATGTGTCCTTTATATCCATTGCACTTATGATGTAATACTGAATTGCAGCATCACAAGCATGTTTTTTCAGCTGATGTATGCAGCAGCAGTTGTGCTTCTTAGGGGGATGATCTGTCTATTTTCCTGTTGTCACACTGCACCTAAAATGCACAACAGCACAAGGTGGGTCACAGTTGACCATAAAGATTTCAGTGAAGTAGCGAATCCTGTAATCATAAATCACCCAGAAGCACTGAGAATTTTCTCATGGGTTAGGAGACACTTTTTGCAGAGTCCAGCAGTGGAGCAAGTTGCCCAGGAATGTTGTGCCGGCAGCATCCCTGGAGGTTTTCAAGACATGACTTTATAAAGCCGGAAACAACATGATCTGCTCTCACAGCTGGCCCTTGACTAGGCATTCTGAGGTCCCTTCTGACCTGGTTAATCTTATGTCCCAATGAGCTGAGGAACAACACAGTTTTCTTTTGACTGGCAACTACTGGAGCATTTTGAGTCTTGCAGCTATTGTTGCTCCTGTGTACGATGCAGGGCAGGCTTAGGTGAATACTGATTCCAGTGGCTGTTCAAGTATGCAGAATGCTGTGGTTTCCAAGTCTTCGTTATGGATCTCATTGTTACTGCAGTGATAAATCATTTGCACAAAGAGGAAATATAACTAATTGTACTTGGGAACACAGCCTTGGAAGAAATGTAAAGATTTAGGGGAACCGTTCGTTTTTCAGTCACCATTCCTCGTCTTGGCTTTTCGTGGTGTTAACAAATTCCAGTGCTTGTCTTTATCGAATGGAGCCACTAGAGGGGGGGATTGTAGCGAGCAACTGCTGAGGAAGCGGTACAGCGTCAGGTGCAGTGAATATTAGAGCAGAATGCTACTCAGTGTTCCTCTGTTTATTATGGAAGAAATTCCAGTACGTGCTCAGATTTTCTTATGATGGATTCTTTAGACTAGTGAGAACAGAAGGTTTTCAGTATGCAGACTTTAGGTGTTTTGTTAAAATATGTTTATACATGTTGTATATGTATAAATGAAAGGCTCTATTTCTGTTCCTAGTCAATAGCAGAACCTTTTAAAATATGGTGCTGTTGATGTCAGCAATACCTTTGTCCTTGCTAATCTGCTTCACCAGGAAGAATTTTGAATGTTTTCATCTAGCTTTAATCTTTCTCCTTGCTGTACAATACCAAAAGGCAATACTGATTATTGTTTGCTTTTACTTTAACAAAATCTTTAAAAGTCATGCTACGACTACATTTTCTGGCTCTGGGAACTAATTGCAGTATAAAAGAAACATTAGTAAAATTTAAGAGGATTTTCTTCATTTTTGTCTCAATACATTTAAAACATTTTTGTCTAGAATCCTTCAAGTTCCAGCTGCCTATTCTCCTATTGATCCAGATGCACCACCAGTGTTATCCACTTATTTCATGAAGAAAAGCAATCTTCAATATATTCTTGTTGAGAATGACAAAATAAACGTAAGTGTTCAGGCTTCTACAGGAAGCATTAAAGGACAATTTAGAAATGTGTAGTTATTTCAATTGTATTAGTTTTTAATAAGCTTGGGTGGAGTTGTTTTGTTTCTTCATGTTGAGAGGTTGTCTTTCTCATTTGGAGAAGAAAATCTTTAAATTTGGAAGTACAAACTGCTTCTCCTCCTCTTAGAAAAAAAACATTCCCTACTTTCCTATTACAATGGTGTCCAGGCAAGCTTATAGGGCACTGACATTGGAAGACTTTTTCAGACTTGTTTCTCCATATGTCAAGGTTGAGAGCTGTAAATCTTTGCAATCATTGAAAATAACTCCTGTATTTAGTTCTTTGGCTTCCCTTTGTCCAACTCTTCCCAAATCTTGTACCCTCACTCATTGCAAGGGGAATAGACAGGATTGGACCATCTAGTTATAATGCAGAGTTCTCTGTCTTCTACAGAATTCTCTAGTATATTTTCCTTTTCATTATTTGCTCAGAGAATTGTTTATTTCTCATATTTAAAGTCTATGTTCACTCATATTTAATATAAAAAAAATACATGAGCTTAAAACTGTCTGTGTGTCCTCCAAAGTAGAGGAATGAAAAATAACAGCTAATTTGTATGAAATGCTGTTTCATATTTCATTGCATAGAGTAGAACAACAGTGCATCCTGAGTTCTGCTATTTAAGTTGTTTATTTTCTCTTACAGAAATTCCAGATGTCCCATGTTGGTTGGTTTTACCACAATTCTTCCGCAATAGAACGTATTGGTTTAACTCTCTTCCAAATGAGCTCAAGCAATGCTGATTTAAATTCACAAGTAGATGATGTGAAAAGTAAATATGAACCTTTCAAAGCTGTAGGTAACTGGCAGCCAGGATATACCATTTGCCCAGATCAAACTGAAGTAAAAACATCAGAAGGAGGATGTATGGACGTTGGCCAGAAATCCTCTCTAGCGTACATCTTGCACACATCAGGAACTACAGGGATCCCCAAAATAGTCAGAGTGCCTCATAAATGTATAGTGCCAAATATTCAGCATCTTAAGTAAGTGTGGTTTCCAGTTTTCCTTTTAAATGCTTTTACAAATTTGATGTTTAGGGGGTCCTTTTAATACTCCAGAGGAGTGTAGCTTGGGGTTTTGCTAACATGGCTTCAATTCTTCCTCCTTCCCTGCCTTTTCAGATTTCTTTGTGTTTGTTTCTATTGTTTCTGAATAGCATCATATAAAATTTAGCTTTTCTAAATATAATTTATAATACTTAAATGGTGCTTTACATGAATTTTTGAGGGGTGTACTTCAAATAATATGCTGCATTGTATTCTGGCTTGTGGCTTAGAAGAAAGTTAAGTATTCATTCACAGTTATATTTAGTGTGCTCTGTAGTTTTTGAGGCCTAATTGCTTTTTAGGCTAACTGGGTTTCTTTCTGTTTCATTTAATACTTTCTAAAAAAACCCAATTATTATGGAAAATACCACCTCTTCGTCTCTTCTTCTCCTCTGCTCTTTTATCTTCTCTTTTTTTCTTTTTTCCTTTTCTTTTTCCTTTTCCTTCATAAGTTGAAATATGCTTTTCAGCATACTGTACTCCTGTGTAATGTGGTGGATAGCTTCGTAAAGGACCTTATTAGTTTAATCAGTAGTTACAGTCTTGATGCAGAAGCTCTTGCTCAAATTATCTGGCCTGCATATGCTTATATATTCAGAGCAGCCCTTAAGACCTTAGCTTTGCTAAACACATATTTTTTTTAAATAAAACAACGTGCATCAGATTTATTATTCCTAGCTTTCTTATTTTAGATCCATATTTGAGATCACACAGGACGATATGCTGTTCCTAGCTTCTCCTCTAACATTTGACCCATCAGTGGTTGAACTGTTCATTGCTCTGACAAGTGGAGCCTCTATTCTTGTTGTACCAAATGCTATTAAAATGATCCCTGTGGAGCTGTCTGCTGCTCTGTTTCACCATCACCGTGTGACAGTGTTGCAGGTAGGCAACACCTAAGTGTCTTGCTTCTCACCTTTGCTAATGTGTGCTGCTTTTTCACCAGTCTAGATGCTAATGATAATGGAGCAAGAGCATTGTTCCTTGAAAGCGTAGCTCATGCTGTCCTTTTTGCTGTAGAGTGCTAGCTTTTTTAGGAAATGACCATTTGATTTGAGCCTCATTTTGTGAGAGAAAACAACTAAAGATAAAACCAACATTCATCTTCAGAAACCATTAATTCTTAAGAATTAATTATATTATTCTGTTAATTAAGCAGGTTGTTCCAAAGAATCTGGTAATGAAGTAACCTGTTACAGACCTTTTTATCACTTTTTAATGGGCTTGATCTTGGAGCCTTTCCTCACAAACAACTTGTAAGTTTTAATGGTAGTCTCTATGCTAAAAATACAACTAAACCATTGCCATTTATAAAGTGATAAAATGTTAGTCGTTTTTACAACAATGAGAGCAAGAGAATAATTGATTACACGGCAACACTTGTGTTTTCAGGCTACCTGTTTATATGAGGCTTCATGTGCGCCTTACATCTTGGAGTAGATCATCTCCTAATGATCTCAATTTTAGCAGTTTTAAAATTAATTTTTGGAAAATGTACTTGAAGTTATGAGTATCTATGATGACTGAATAGGCCTACTCCTTGCCTTGTACTGTAACGAGGTATTTTGTAAAACTATTAGTTGAGCATAGAAATTTAAATCAGGGTGTGGGGGGAAGAGTCACTGGAAACAGACCTCACTTGTAACTGACTGAACGAAATTAGTCTGGTCTGATTAGTCTATTAATTGTTATAAATCAACCCCTAAGCCTTGCTTTGTCATTGTTGTAATTCTGAAGTATTTGCACTCGTAGAAATGCTGACATTTCCTTTTCTTTTGGAGGAATGGTGGTAGTTGAGATAGTAGGGTATAAATTTAAGATTAGTGAGTAGTTATCTGAAGATTGCACTGCAGAAAAAATCCACTAGTTACAATTATTTTGTAACTTTATTCTCTGCTTTTTTTTATTTATTATGACTGCTATAAATCTTGATGGTGTAGATTTTCATATCATATTCCAGTTCCTTAATCAGTTTAGCTCAGTTGCTTTTAGAAAATAATTCTGAGATATTAATTACGATTAGCAAGATATTTTAAAGTATGTTTTTAAAGACTTTTTAAGATTTATTTTTTTAAGCATGTTAACTGTTAATAAAGGAAAGGTGAAATTTGGGGAATGAAGGTATTTGAGATGTCTTCCTAAGAAAAGTTCAGTTTTGTGATTTTTTTTTTTTTTTTATCATTATCTTAATCAGTGAAGGAAGGGCTTCTCATCTGAATTAATGACAAAAAATAGTCTCCTTATAGCTTAGCTGATTAATAATTTTATGTTTCTTAAATTATAGCAAGACATTACCTTCCCTCTTGAGTTGCTTGAGCAGACTTGAGAACTGCAAAGTGATTATGAGGGAGGGGAAGAGTAATTTTTCCTCCTTTTTTCTTTGCTATAATTTACTGAAGTTAAAATGATCAGTTGTAGAGTGATGATCTTCATATCTTACTAGAAGAAAATAACCTGCTAAGGAATAATTCCATTAATTTTCCTCTTACTAGGAAAGATAGGCAAGAATGAGAGTGAAGTGTGTCTGTTAAAATGAATTGCTGTTTTTCCCTTCAGTGAAAGGGCTCTACATCACCAATAGTTTTATAGAAGTAGTTACATTAAGGAAGCTGTTCTGCTTCTTTTATTTGTTTGGTCTTATTTCTTTTTCCCTTGCTCATGTTAGAGTGTGGTGTGAAAGCTCTCAGAAAAACTAACTTTTGTAAACTGTTATATTTACACAAATCAGGACCAACCCAGAATCTGGCATCCTAGGTGTTTTTAGTGGTAAGGAAAGGTCTTTAAATGTTCTATATGCAGATTAATCAGATGCGTAGGTTATATTATAGCTGTAACATGCTGGAATGAAGGGGGGGAAAGACTCAAACAATAACATCAAGAGAATACTGTGTTTGCTGCTTCCTGTTTCAAAGTAATGTATTAAGAACTAATGTGCACGCACTTTAGGTAATAGCTGAGACACATTATGGAACCTATAAAACATCTAAGTAAAGAAGAAACTCTGCAGAAGAACATAGATTCATGCTGACAGTGCTCATTAGAGGCTTCACATAAGAAAAAAAAATCTCAGAAACATCAGCATCATCTATACTTGTATCTGATGGTTGGATGGTTGATGCCATCTACTATATATAAATGATTATTAAGTACATCCACAATATAGCTATGCAGTGGATATGATAAAGCAGGAAGAGGTGCACATACACGGAAAAAATATAACAGGTCTTTTTTTTTTTTTTTAATACGTACCATTCAGGCAACACCAACACTTCTCAGAAGGTTTGGAACTGACATTATTAAATCAACAGTGTTGTCTGCAAGTACTTCACTTCGTGTCTTAGCCCTTGGTGGTGAAGCATTTCCTGTACTGAATCTCTTGAAAAGTTGGAAGCACAAGGAGAACAAAACAAGTATTTTTAATCTGTATGGTATTACTGAAGTGTCAAGCTGGGCCACTTGCTATAAGATTCCTGAAGAGGTTTTTAGTGCTGATTTCAGGTAGGAAATTTCACTGTTTTCATAACTTGGCATGTGAATGATGAAAATCACTGGAAATAGAATGTCAGTTTCCTGTTTCCAGGGCTACTGAGTGTTTATGCTGGTAGAAGTTACATTTGGTTTTTATGTAGAAATGGACTAATCCATTCTCTCTTGCTCTAATACAGATCCCTCAAGTAAAAGTTGTTGACGAGTGATTCTCAAACAAGTGCAGACTGAAATTCTGTGTACTTGTAGACCTGTTAAGTTTCACATAATGTGTTGTGATGGTCTGTGTTTTGGTCGTCTCTGTACCTAGACCTCTTCCTCATTCCAGACTGTGATTCCACATTCTCAACCTAGACTATCCTAGCTGAGGGTGTGCTGTCTCTGACTTAGATGGCAGTTTTGAATCAGTTTTGCACGTACGCAGGCAAATGGCTCCTACCCAATTTGCTAGCAACTTCAGTCAGCCGTACTGTTGCTCATCATGAGGCTTTTCCAGAGAGATCTTGTATGTTCAAAGAGAAGAAATGTAACACAGCTGTCAGTAAGAGTAAAGAAGTGTGACTCTGTAACTCTTCATCATAGCCTTGGAACAAAGATATACTTGTAGCATAGCTCTGTAAGGTTCAGAATGGTACTTCTGAGATTTACTTATTTTAAGCAAAAATGCTCAAAGATTATTTTCAAATGTACAGTAGCAGTATGAAACACACATATATCTACTGATTACTTTTGCCTACAGTTTTGAAAACTCCACAAGAAATTGATTAAGTGGAGACTAGATACTGGGGTTTTTTCTAATACTGGATAATACACTATTCAGCAAATAATCCCCTTGATATTATTTGACTAGTATGGATGACAGAAACTTGTCCAAAGTGGCTCACCCAAGGTCTTAAAGTAATTTTACTTGGACTTCCAGAAGTACTTTCTTTTCATCATTTAGCACTCTACCATTTTCACTCAATTAGTGACTTTTTTTTGTTCACTGTGTTTCATACAGAGAGTTGCAGGAGTGTCAAGGTCATGAAAGGTACTTCCAGTTAGCTCAGTGTTTCATTTGCTCTCTGAAGTGTGTGATTATTCCCTGGTATGATAATTATATATGTGAATTGAGTTAGATGTGTCCTATGAAATGGAATGTTTTGGACAAATTATGTAATATATTAACCTGGTACTTAAGCCCTTGAAGACTGAAAATGGCGGATGGTCCTAAAGTGCTATTAAATTATCATGCTAAACTCATTTTCATTCTGGTTTCTTTGAGTTCAAACATTACTTTCTCCTCAGTGAAACTGTTTTTCAGAGAGATAATGTGTTCTTCCATCCTAACTGATGTGCAGTTAGAATAATGGAAGTTTTTATAGTCTCTGATTGTTGTCTCCCACCCTTCACCTCAGAGCCTGTTCCATCTAAGCCTCATTGCAGAGGGAATTAGGGTTTATTTGTAGTAAGCAGCCCCGTATACAACAAAACTAGGACAGACCATTTTGTGTCTTCTTCGTTTCTTAGTATTGGTAGGACAGTTGCAGTACAGTGGGCTTTTATTTTTGGTAGCTGAATTATGAAAACTGTCAGTTTCTAGAGAGCACTAGAAAATGGAAAAAGACCAAAACAGCACAAAGGTAGTGCCTTAGTGCTCTGCATCCCTGTTTTACTTTTTGGCTAAGTTTTCCAAAATTAAATGTCTAATCCCAAGTCTTTTAACAATAATAGCCAAATGAGGTGTTGTTTGTCTTTTATTTTTGCTGTTCTGTGGTATATGTGGGAATCTTAGGGGTTTGTCTGGCAGTATTAAATTCTACTATTTTTTGGTTTTCCCTTTGTGTTGGGACTTTCCCATGGTATCGGGCAGACACATTTAATATCTGGGATGCTTTCTCATACCTATTTGTCAAGTAATTATATTTTGAAGCTGACCAGAGGAAGGAAAAGGAGCAGAAGATTCTCACTTGGCATAAATCATTTGTAAAAACACATTTTACAAATTTTGACTGCTTTTGGTCGACTTGAGGTAAAGAATTATTTGACTGATCATAGAAAAGGAGAAGTTTCAACAGCCTAAATAACAGGAGTTGAACAAGAACTGTTTGGTTAAAATATGAGATTTTATGATAGAAATTGAACTGGAACCCATGCCTAACTCTATATATTACCAAAGCTAAAGTTACTTTGCTTTTTAAATTTTGCTTTACTGAAGAAAATATATTATTCTCTATTCCCACTCAGAAATAGTGTCTATATTCAATAAATGAAGTTCTGCAAGTGTTTGAAGAGGCTAGAGAATGAAGGAAGGAGTTGGTCTACAGCTCCATAGAAGTCTCTAACAGATACATGGCACGGAAATTACAGTTTCTTTTATTTCAGTCTTTTCTGAAAGAGTCAACTGTACTTGTTGCCGCAACATCAGTAGTAAAATAGAATAAAAGCTCAAACTAGGTAGGACAGGGAAAGAATGAATTAGAAAGCAGTTACAAGTGTTTAAATTGTTTTGACTTGATAGAAGTTTAAAACTGGGGGACTTAAAAACTCGCTGAAACTCTCAGGGTGCTCTCGAGATACTTCAGCATCCATTGAAGCCTTATTTACCATCATTCTATGTTTTTTGGTATATGAAAATTAAACCCATGCACACTGATGAGATTTTTTTATTTTGAACAACTTGAGATGTTTTTAAACAAGAAACATTTGTAGAAAGAAGCCCCAAGCGTATACTTTTGCTCTAATACTATTCCTTTAAAAGACTGAATGCTACCTCATTTCTGGAACAGTTGGTTGGTGTCAGAAAGAAAGATTTTTACTATTTCTGTCTTTAATGCATTTAGAACTGATTGCCCTATACCATTGGGATCACCGCTTCTTGGAACAAAAGTTGAGGTCAGAGATTCCGACGGTTCTGCAGTTCTAGAAGGCGAGGGACAAATATTTATAGGTTATTTTATATTTCTTATTCTTCTAAGAGACTTCTTAATTGATTGAATTTTAATAATATATTATTTTACTTGGTGTCTGCCTCTGATATACAGATTAATGTAGCATTTTGAGTTCCCATTGGGCTGGGAACACTCTGATGCTATTATAGGTTGGAATGATGAACAGGATATTACCATAATTTTATCTGCAGACTGTGCTTTCATTATATTGATTTTTTTTTCCTGATTGCATTTTGACATTCTCAGTTGAAGTAATTTCTGTGTATTAACTGAATTAACTGCATAGCCCGGTTTGTATACTGCAGAAGTTTAGACATTGATAATAATCTTTTAGTACTTATTATAATGCTTGTTAGAGTTTAGGAGAATTTGATAAAATTCTCTTTTATTTACAGTTAGACACTTAATATATGTGACCACGGTCTTTTCTTGTGTAGGTGGTGAAGAACGAATCTGCTTTCTTGATGATGAGATAACTGTACCCCTGGGCACAATGAGAGAAACAGGGGATTTTGTAAGAGTGCAGAATGCCAAGTTGTTCTTCTTGGGTCGGAAAGACAACCAGATTAAACGTCACGGCAAACGTTTTAATATTGAATGTTTGCAGCAGGTAGTGTAACATCTAGTGACTAGAGTATTCCAGTATAAAAACAGGGATAAGGAACACATCAGAAATCATCAGAGTTATCATCAGAAATGGGTATTTACTCATCTTCAGATGACTTTTAGGAGTCTTAAAGAAATGGGGAGGTTGTATTATCAAAAATCTAGTCACATAATTTAGGGAGGAGTTTGTTTCTGAGTTCTTGGAAATCTGTTTTATTGTATGATTTCTTCCGGCAGAATTGACAACTGTATAGACATCTGAAAAATACTGAGTGTTGAACTGCAATAATTGTATAGTGATTGTTCTACAAGACTGAATGCCAGACTTGTGGATTGTATCTCATTCATGGCATTTAGGCAAATAATACATATCTCTGAGTTTGTTTTTATGTGAAGAAGTACAAACTTTAGCTACAAGAGAAAGTATTTCGTAGGATGTTAATGCAGGAATGTGAGACATGTATTTTAAATGTGTACTTTTAAAAATTGTGGTTTTTACTCTATTGATGAAATGCATTCAAAGCAAGACTAATATTTTTTATTTACAGGCTGCTGAAGATCTTTGTCAGGTAGAAGCTTGTGCAGTGACCTGGTATCAGGAGGAAAAACTTATCCTGTTTGTTGTACCCAAAGATAATTTAGAAAAGAGAGAAACACTCAAAGAACTCCAGAAATGTCTACCAGCTCATGCAGTCCCTGATGAGCTTGTTCTGATTAAAGCTCTGCCTTTAACATCACATGGTAAATGAAACTATTAAGTACGCTTGGCACTTATTTTAGTCTCTGTACGTTTTTCTTTTTTTTTTTTTTAATTGACCAAAATCCAGTACCTGATTCATGCTTTTTAAATATGTGGATTAGATAACTAACTCCTGGTAGGAAATGATGACCATGTATTATGTTTTCTTGATAATGTTTCGTTCAAGAGTCAGATCAATTTAGTAAAATCAGTATAGTATTAATACTGCACATTTACTTTCTCAGTCATTCCTGTTGCGGTCTGCAGCAGAACACTGACTCCAGCTGGGGAAAGATCAGGTCCTGAAGGTGGGATTATGTGGGAGGCTAGGGTAAATTTTCAGAAACCTTATTGAATTCTTTTAAGTGTAGTTGACTGAGTGGTTAAGAAAAAAATGCAGATGCAGTTGAGTGTGAAAAGGAAGTGTGTACAAGAGTAGAGTGACTATTTGGGTAGAGCAAGTTTTGGAAGTGTAAATGCTAAAAGAGCAATGAAAAAAATCATACTTTGTTTTCTACAAAGGCAAAGTTGATATATCTGAACTGAACAAGATTTACCAGAACCATCTAAACTCCAGAAGGCGTGACAGTAAGCTGAGTGGCGCAGAGGAATTGTGGGAAAGATTGCAGTATTTATGGAAGGTAGTATTTTGAGCTGCCTTTTTATCTTTGTGAGTAGATCATTATACATGTGTCAGGAATTAAACAGTTTAAGAAGTATGACTAATGCAAAAAGAACATTCTAGCTGCCTATAGATTTAAGCAGTACAGCTCTTTCTGTTTAGTTAATACTTAAATATAGTTGCTCTACAGTGGCCAAGAGGGAGTAATTTATGTTTCTCTATCAAACTGCAGGCTATGAGATATAGGCAATTAGCATAGGAAGGATGTAACCTGTCAGTAGCTTTTTGAATACTGCTTCACATGCCAAAGAAGGTATCCCTAAGGGCAGCAAGGAACTGGTACGTGGAAAATTTGTACTAAATAGCTACTGTGTTTGCAGAGTTTCTTATTTCTCAAGACAATTATGAATTGAAGTGTCTTTTTCTAAATAGATGTCACAGTTTTTTTATTGTCTCTTGGACTGTCTGTATTGTTTCTAAATTGCTGTGCTAAAGACTTGTTTTTCAAGGTAATGAAATGTGATGCCAAACAGTATTACTTTTTTTTTTTTTTTTAGATAGACTTCCAAATTTCACCTGGCAGTGGGATTTGCTGTGGCTAGGACTTGAACAAGTAAATGTAGTGAAATTAGTAACACAGTTGGCCTGTGCTGATACTTACCATATTGGTGGCTATAGAAATTATAATCCAAAAGGATGGGATGTGCCCTAGACCTGTTATGGACAGCAGAAGGCAGCTTCCAAAACCAGAGGATTTGGACTTCACGCTCAGGTTTAACAAGCAGGGAGTGCAGTTAGAGGAGACATAGTAATTGCTGTTTGTTGTAGCAACAATACCAAATTCAAAATCCTTCTTTAATTGAAGGGGTTATAGCTTCAAAAGTAGGTAGATAAGTAGGTTACTTACATAATTCATCAGTAAAAGATACCAGTTTATATAAGTATTATTATTAAAAGAAAACATTAAACCAATTTTATCAAAAGGCATCAATGTTTTATCTGCGAAGTTGTCATTGATAAATGGTACTGAGGTTGAAAATGGCCAACAAAAATACAGCACAATTTGCTTTAGCTCCTTAGACTGCAGAATTGGAATTGAGCAAAACCTGTTTGTAGTACAGAACTAGTATGTCCCTGTTTCCCCATTCCTCCTAACTCTTGTTCCATCACTACCTCTGTTGGCACTGACACGTTTTGTGGGATTTTTTACAGAGCAGTGAGTTTCCTCAGTTGCTAATTTTTAGTGGGAGTTACGGGTATTTAAGCAGATTTTGCCCAACTGGAGTTTTTGTGTGTGTGACATGGTGTAACACTCATGGACTGTTACCTCTTTCCTTCTTCTTTTCTCTAGTCTGCTCTGGGTCTCCTAGGTGATTCCACCGGAATTTCTAAGGATGCAGTATTTCTTTACAGTGGTGGAGACTCCTTAAAGGCTCTACAATTTTATAATGAAATTGAGATGCTAGTAGGCAAAGCGGTGCCTGGACTCCTTGAAGTTATTCTCAGCCACTCCATTGAAGAAGTTTATAGACATATTCTTAAAATTCTGTTTCCAGATGAAGACCAATTAATGAATTATGACAATGCTGTGAAAAGAAAATTAAGTGGGAACAGTGGAGAGGAATTCTATGGAAAATATATTAAACTGAAATCTGAAAGAGATCTTCAGGTTGTTTCAGGGTTAATTTCATTTATTGCACTAAGCAGAGGAAATCGTGTTTTTTCTATGAATTTCACCAAGTCTTTTACGCAACCCAGTAATACAGTACAGGTAGGAGTGGAACTGCTTCAGCAGCCATCCTTTCCGCATTTAGTGACTCCAAGTATAATGAAAAGCCATGTGCAAGGGTATGAAATAGAGAAGAGAATTTTAACAGTTACAAACAAGGCAAATAAAACTGACTGTTGCTCTGTACAGCAAATCCATGAAGAATGTAGTCATGTAGCAACGGCAGAATTGGCGTTATGCATAAGATGGAAGTCAAATACAAGAAAATGTGTTGATGCATCACCACTGGTTATAATACCATCTAAAGAAGAATTATCTGCATCTGTGTATGTTGGCTCTCACTCTCATGCAATGCAGGCAATAGATCTAGATTTGGGAGAAATAAAATGGGAGAAGAACCTTGGAGATCGTATTGAATCTTCTGCCTGTGTATCTAAGTGTGGAAATTTCATTGTTGTTGGTACGTCTTTTGTTTTAGCCTTCATGTTAAATTGTTTTTTCTGCTAAATACAAGATGAATGACTGAGAATGTGATTTCTTACCTCCATCTACACTTATACAGAAACTTCTGTATCTGCTTCAGAACTAATTTATTGTAAAATAGAAATGGAAGGAAGAAGTACTTTAAGTTTCATGATAACCAGTGATGGAGCTTATCTAACATATACACTTGTGATTTATTAGATGCCAGTTTATTAATAAGGCCTTATTAAGGAATACTCAATGAGTATGGTTTCTTTTTAGTGGTTAAGGTGTGACCTTTAAACTTTTTTAAGTATGAAAAGGTGATACAGTCTTAAAATGTCTTTAAAAATTGATAGAGGTAGAAATTAGTACATGGTGCCTCAGATTATTTTTCATGGCATTTAATTTTCTCCTTTAACTCTTCTTTTTGGAAATGTAAAGAATATGTTTGGATAGTTTTTTGGTTTTGTCATTTTAGTGTTTTTAGCTAATATGTATATATCACTGATTAGCACAGATGTCCGGGTGGTGAATTTTTTTATGCAAAGCTAATGTTGCCATCTTTTTGCTAGTATTTGGATTGCTGTTTACTCTGATAACAAAATTGAATGTTACATTAAAACTGAAGGAGTTTCTAGAACTACAGTTAAGTTTTCATTAGAAAACATACAGACTTTGTTCTTTCAGCACCTTTGTTTTCAGAAAGGAAAATTAGGGAATAAAAAACATTCTTATTCTCCATTTTCAGCAACTCTTCATGTCTTCTAATATTATTACTGTAAAATTTCATAGAAAGGCAGTGAAATAAATATATTCTAAATGTAACCTGGAAAGAACACACAGAACCATCAACTTTGAATGTATGAACTATCAGGAAAGACTTTGAGCTAAAAGAAGAGGAGGCACTTTGGAACATGTTTTGAAACTGTACCTCATGAGTCATCTTATTTCTTTCCAGCAGTGATGCAGCTAGCAGCATAAATCACACTATAAATACAAATATTCATTATGCTTTTTTTCCCTGCTATGTTTTATTTCACACAGGTTGTTATGATGGCTTAGTGTATGTGCTCCAAAGCAGTGATGGAGAAATACACTGGACTTTTGTTACAGAAGATACTGTGAAAAGCTCTGCAGTTGTAGACCCTTCCAGTGGACTAGTCTACATAGGATCACATGACCAACACGTGTATGCTTTGGATATTTATGTAAGAACACTGACTAACTTTTATGTACAGAAGAATAAATATCCAACTTAGACTCTATTTGTAGTACATTAGATGAAGCTCTGCTGGTAGTATTCTCGGGAGTCCACAATTACACTTTTGAAGTAGTTAGTCCTGCTTGAAGTGAAGTTAGGGTTATGTGGTAGTAAATAGTTTCACTGGTGTTACCAGCTGTGGTTCTTGTGATACTAGTCCTGTCTGAAACCAAATCTTAAGTTTCTTAGTTATTAAATTCTCTGTGGATGTTTCAGAATAGGGTGCCCAGCTAGAAATAAAACTGTGCCTTAACAGTGGAGAAGGAATCCTACATTCTAAAAGAGCAGATGAAGAGAAATGGAAAATAAGAGGGGAAGATATTGCCTCATCATTAGCTGAATTTCTTTTTACTGGAAGAGAATGTAGCCAACAGCATATGTGTTGCTATAATAGCATGTAGGTTATATCTTCACTTCTTAACTAGTATTTGCTGAGTACGTGCACTGTTTAATAAGTTTTTATATTTCAAGGTCTTTGTAAACATGATGAGCTTTAACTCCAATTGTAAAATTTTTATGTACCTTTTTTTTCTTGTGCTTACAGAACAAAGCATGTATATGGAAGTCACATTGCGAAGGTGGAGCTGTGTTTTCATCCCCTTGTCTAAGTTCTTTTCCACATCATCTTTATGTTGCTACTCTGGGAGGACTGTTATTGGCTGTAAACCCAGTACGTAGTTTTCCTTACTTGTCTTTGATCCCAATCTCAAATTTAAATGAAACCAAAAATGCATTTCTGAAGCTAAGATCACTTTTGTGATGAAAGGAACTAGACGATCATGTGTTACCATAAGATATTTTTTACTTGAGGGCCTTATTATGCACAAGGTTACCATAATAATTCCTGTATTTCAGAAAGCTATCTGGTGATAAAGAGAACTGAAGTGACTTGCTTGAATTTATATGCTGACTGTAGGCCAAAGTTGGAATCAGTCTTCTCATGCCCATATACTACCTTTTCAGTTAAACTAGTGAGTGAGAGCATGTGTGTAGCTTTTTTTTTTCCACCCTCCCTCCATTTTACAGTAAGATTAAAAAAAAAAAAAAATACCCAGAAGTTAACTGAAATCAGAACAGAACAGAGAAAGAAGCCCCTTCGTTCCTCTTACTGTTTTCCTCCCTGTGTTCATTTGAAGATCTGTCCCTCTTAATCTTGAACTGCTGTTCTGTTCTCTGCACTGGGGAAATGGCATTCTTGATAGATGTGGAGCAATTTCATGGTTGTCTGAGGCATTGTTGGATTACAGCTGGTCCTGTCTGATAAAAGGAACAGTCACTTGGAGCAGCTGTTCATGTTTTTCTGCTCACACAACCCACAGCATCAGTCCTAACCATCTTTACATCCATCCACTACGACTTTCTTCAGTAATGTCCAACATAGTGTTAGAAGACCAGTGTATGGTTTTGCAGCTCTAGTGGGCTGTGGTTAAGAAAAAACAGTTTGGGAGTTTTTTTCCATAATCCTGAGTAAACAGGCAGTTGAGAAACCCAGCTGTAACTCCAAATATTATTTATAAAAATAGGACTGTGCAGGCTATGTTAGGACCTTATTATGACAATCATGGATTGTGGTTGCAGCATTTCCTACAGTATTTATAGTTTATGACATGATCAATATGACTTGCTTTCAGTATGTCCTCTCCTCATCTTCATTGGTCTTTATCACATACTGAGGAGCAGTGAATGGAATAAAAAATGAATCTGACATTTATAAAAACAACTACTACTGCTACACTGTTACCATTATTATTTTGCCTATGGGTGAGGAAGAGAAGGATGGAACAGGGGTATTGAATATCCCAGGGAAAACACTAAATATTTTGTTGGAATATGATTTGAAGAGTAGTTTTGCTTCTGGTATGCTTTCTGTAATGGAGAAGCTTACTTTTCTTTGCTTCTTTGGGTTTTATTGGGCTTTTTTTTGTGTGTGTGTTTTGGGTTTTTGGGGTTTTTTTCACAATTCTTAAGGGCTGGGTCAAGCTGTGAAGGAAGGGTTGTTTTGTGTAGCTTTTTACAGTTGTGTTAATTATCAGATATTCCATGCTGCCATTTACAGGTGACAGGGAATAAGATTTGGAAAATGTTCCTGGGAAAACCACTCTTCTCCTCCCCTCACTGCAATGAGAAGTATGTTTTTGTCGGGTGTGTGGATGGAAACTTATATTGTTACACTCATTCTGGAGAAAAGGTAAAAGTGGTGGTGTTGGGTTTTCTTATGTTCATCACAAGAACCCTGAATAAGATGCTTCATTAATACTATTTTCTGAGGTTTAATGGTTAACAGCAGAGATAATGCCAATCATAGTTCTCGCAAAATATGTGTCAGCCTTCATGTTGAATTAAAATAGAATAATTTTACTTCCTCAGAGATGAATGTGGTTTGTATCTGGTATTAAAACAACTGACACTGTTTCTGTTAGTTTCCCTGAGATGCAGTATACATTGCAATTCCTAAGCCTTTTCTGATTATAAAATATGTGTTAGCCCATAACCTAGTAGAAGCCATACTCTCTTGAGGAGAGATCTGCACATCATTAACATGAGCAGAGGAAATATATATTACAAATGGAATATTTCCCTTTTTGGCCAAGAATGACATTTTAAAAGAATTCTCAAAGTTGATTACTGATTGTGGTACAACAGACCAAGAATATTCTTTTCCCAGGTTGCCCATCTTTAGGCAGGCCTCACGGAAGGTAGTAACTCTTGCATGTCTATTTTCTGAGTCTGTTATTACTACCTCTGTGCATAAAGCATAACTTGTAATTTGGCAAGTATTTACCACCCCTCACTGAAATCTAGTATGCTCTTGAAATAAAATGCTCTCCTGTCAACATCTAGTCTATTAAAAAATTACAGTTGCTGTCAAACTGATAACGTGAACAACCTTTGATAACGGGTGGTCATATTCTTTCTGTAGGTTTGGCAGTTTTCCACTAACGGACCGGTGTTTTCATCTCCATGCATCTCAAGTTTAACTAAGCAAGAAATATTTTTTGGCTCCCATGATTGCTTTATCTACTGTTGTAATATGGAGGGTGATTTACTGTGGAAATTTGAAGCCACTTCAAGTGTATATGGAACACCATTCATTTTCCAAAGTGATGACTTAAAGAACAGAATTCTTTTGGCAGCAGTATCTACAGATGGCAAAGTGTGGATCCTGAATGCCAAGAGTGGAACAGCAGAAGGAGTAGATAAGCTTCCAGGAGAGGTTTTCTCTTCCCCTGTAGTATGGGGAACAAAGCTTGTTGTTGGCTGTAGAAATGATTATGTTTATTGCCTAAATTTGTATATAAGAGGAAAAAAAGAACAGCTAAGATGTTAGGCTGCTTCCTTTTTATTGTTTACATTTGTAAATTAAGAACTCACAAGTGCTCTCTACTTCTCTGCCTATTCTACTGTAGGCAAGAGGTGCTCTTTGCAGACTTCTCAGGTAGCATTTTGCACCAGGCAGTGTCCAGAGTAGGTAACATTGTTTGTTGACTTGCTGTACTGATTGAAGGAGGATGGCTGCTCAGCATCCAGACAGAAGTTTCACTGTCCCTCCTTCATTTCCCAGCTCCGATTCATGAAAGAACATGTTTCAGATGGTTTGGATTTGAATGTTGTGCTTTGATCTGTGTAATAAGAAAATGAAAGTCAGTAGTTGGGCTTCAAACACTTGCAGGATTGGAAGAAACTGTGGTAAGGTGCCATGCTCTGCAGCCTGGAATAACATGCTTATCTCCCTGTCTCCCTGAGGGAGGAATGTACTCCTCTCTCTGAGTCCAGCCTAGCCTGTGTCCTGAGGTTCCTTCCTATCCGGTGCCTGGCTCTTCCATGGATCAGACTGGTGTTTATCTTGTCTGATGAGGTTTCTATGCCATGGCAAGGTAACCCAAGTTCTTTTTTGAATCTAACTTTTATCTTGATTTCTTTGCATGCACCTGGTAGTAGTGACCCATTTACTATAGTTTGTATAGACTGAGTAGTTCATCTTTTGTTAGCCTAGGCCCTGCCTGGCTTCAAATCAGCCAAGCATATACTTAAACTCCGTTGAAATCAGGAGAAGTTAATTCTTGTATTCTGAAGTGGAGAATATACTTATATGTGTATATTTATTAAATTTCAATGACAGGTACAGTATGAGTTCCAAGATGAAGTGTGCATTGCTCAAATCAACTGTTGTAAAATAATTTTTAAAGAGATTTGAATGAAAGCTCTCTACAGTGTCTTTACAGAGAACTATTAATAAAGGGTTATGTAAATTGGTTTTGGTTGTCTTTAACACCTTGAAAAGAATTACCAGTGGTTTTACTAATGCAAATCAATATTTGAAATGACAAAAGTACACTAATGGAGAGCACCTTTCTGATTATGGTCTTTTAAAAGAACTATAGTAGAAACTATTTATCTCACACTCTCTGATGACCTGTCCACTTTGAATTCCAACATCTTGAATTAAAAAGTAAAGCAGAAGTTGCACTGGCTATGTTGATTCATCACATCTGGTTCTTCCATTTTATCGTTGGCAGAGATGCATAGGCAAGACACTTGTAGTATTGTAAAAAGCTCTGTTTATAAAACAGCCTGAACACGGTTAGCAAAAGGAAACACAGAATACATACATTGATTATATAATTTTGACTGCGTTATAGTTTAATAAGAATTAAAATGACATTAGTATAATAAACAATTGCACTTTAAAACATTTGAAAAAATAAAAAAGTACACAACAAATACCCCACAATTATACATCTTATAGTTTTTATACATTACTATATGAACATAGAAGTTAATCATATATAACCTTGTCAGAAGAAATGGTATTTTGTGTGTATAAGTTACAAAAAATTGAGACAATATACTACATAGTGGTTTGTTCAGTTCTTAAAACATTTTTCCTGTTTTAAACTTGGTAGTCGTGTTTTGGTTTTATTTTTACAGATTTCCAACACTTTATCAGAAATGGTTGCAACAAAGCTAAAGCAAAGCAACACTTCATTGATATTTAGTGCAAATTTTTGTTAATTTAACATGAAATGTCACTGTTGAACATGTACACTTTAGAAATGTTTCCATCGAGTACTGTACATAATACAGTTTCCATTATTACACTAGATACCTTTATAGTTGAAAAAAATTTCTGCTTTGAAGCTTTAGGTTAAGACCATCCTTTATGAAAGCTCTATTCTATGTGCTATAAATGTAATGTATTGGAAAATTGCATCCTTACATCATGCACAACAGCACCTAATTTTGGTATGCTTTTCAGAATACCAGTATCTTTAATTCCTTAATCCTGATTTACTTCACCTTCTCTGTATTTCTGCCTGGCTCATTCTCCCAAGAAATAAAGATGGTTTTCAGGCAATGTAGTTCTTGTAATTACAAATACATACTGCAGGCTTATAAACTCAGAAAAAATTGTAAATTTAACTTAAGAAGCACTAATTCATGGTGCTAGAAGAGAAAAAATAATTATAGGCCAAATTCTTTCTTCAGATAAGCTTACAGAGATTTGACTTTGAAGGCGTTAAGTATATTTCTCCCAAACATTTGAGAGCAGCATTACCCCATCTCTGTATTTTAAATACTATATTAATGGTAAAAATTTACTTTAAAGATTCTGGTTTTAAATATGAAGCTGAGCAAAACTGATGGCTTAAGAGACCCAAAAAACCCCATCTTGCTGCTGCACATCTACTCAATCTAACATGTCCATTGTGTTTGTGCTATTGTAACCATGATACTGAACCATTGTTTTCTGTTTGATGGGAAGTAGTGTATTCAAGAATGACTTTCGCTGACAAGCCCTTTTTGATCCTTGAAACAGGAGAATATGTCAGGTTTCATTCTGTTTTATGCATAAAGTGCTAGTCCTCAGGCTGCATACAGCAGTTTGGCTAAAATACTTCCATGAAACATATGTGGTATCATTCTATAATGATACAATTTCTTCTCATGAAAACATCTCCCTTTATGATGTTATAGGCTTAAAGGTTTCTTTGAACCATATGGTTATAAAAAGGAGATGTTAAAGTTTGTTAAAGACTTCCTTGTAAAAGAAATTAGAGTGTGTTACAGATTTATTTACTAGCGTGACTAGCTATTCCTGTGGGATGTTGAGGGTAGTAAAATTTTATTACATCATGGACTTTATCCTTTTTTTGTAAGAGGGAAGGAGTGAACGTTTCTATTTTAGTTACAAGAAGTAATAAAGTATTCAATTGCCACAGCAGATACCTGAAATGGGGTAAGTAAACTTCTTTCTGAAGTGTTCTGGCTGTATTGGTCAAAGTCCAGGAAGTTATCTGAACTACCTGCAGCTGCATGTGGAGTAAAATCAGGAAGAATGCAGAGTTAAAACTCCTGAGACTCTCACTGACTTAGCTTTCAGTTCTCAGTTAGCTTCAGTTCTGCAAGTCTTACTCCCATGGGAACTTACTGAAACAAAATCTACAGCTACATGAGCACAGGAATAGTTTTACTTATTTTAGTTTCAGTTGATTGATTTAAAGTTGTAATCCACAGCCACTGTCTTTATGCATCTTAAATATGGCCAAGCACAAACAGTGATGCATTTAAATGACTAGAAGAAACACTGACTCCCTGGCTTCTTTCTGAAAACTTTCTGATTTTTGTTTAAATGATTTTTTTTTTTTTTGTTAAGTAGGATTAATTGTTTTCTTCCTAGGAGTGAGGGAATATAGACACAGTGTGTTAATCCTATGATAAAAGAAATTACCTCAGCATTTGGATGGTACCGTCTTTCTATTTATCACTTGCAGGTGCAAAGATATCTCCCAAAGTTTGTTGTTAGGGAAGAAGCTTTCAAATAGCAGGTAGAACTGACAGTTCATACAATTTAACACTTAAAAGGATTTACGAGTAAGAGAAGGGAACATGCATCTTGCCTTAGTTTTCAACAGTGGAGTGTTGAAAAAAAATTTTGAAATCTCCACTTAAGTGTAGAGATCTAAAATTCCAGAACCAAATACCCACAGAATTTAAGGAGCTTCTGAACTTGAGTTCTGGCCCTTATTATTATACTTGCTAAAATTTACATCCAGTATCTGACCATTCTTAAATTTTTGAGAGTCTGGCTCTGAAATTTTTGCTGTGACCTCATTTAGCTATTTGTCAAAGCAATGGAATATATGACTTGAGTAGACTTTACAGTGAGCTAGAGCAAAATGGTAATCGGTTCAGTTTTCAGTCCTTCAGTACATGCATTTTCAGTTTTGTCATGTGTAAAAAGCTGAAAAAGAAAAATTAATAGCAGGAGAGATTTAATTTTACAATTTACTTTATGATCTGTGGACAGTCACTCCAGGCTTTTGCTTTCCTCTTGGCTAATGCAAGCCAGGCTGGTTCTGTTGACACAGGGTTAGCATCAGGTGTAGAGAATCTCTTGGCCACCTCCTTTGTCAGTGGGGCTGATGGAACAGAATCTGAAATTTCCACTGTTTTGATTGGGTGGGAAGGGGAAGAGGAAAAAAAAACCATTAGTTGAACCCTGTACTTTGTTGCAAGGTTATAGATATTTTGCTTCTTTTCTGTGAAGATATTCTGATCTAACACTTCCTATTTATTCACAACACTTGTAGTTAAATTTTACTTTTTGTTGTATTTGCAAAATAACCAAGTTAGGAGGAGCTGAGTTTACTTTTTCAGACGCAGCTCCAAGTAATGTAACTCACAAATATAGGGACAAAATTTTCAGTCTCTATGAGATCCAGAAAAAACATTTCCAGTTTGCCATTCATCTTCCTTACATAAACTATTTTAATTACATCTGCAATGTAGCAAACAAAGGGAAATAAAGCTGGATTTTTTTTTTCTCTTTGATAATGCAACTGCTGAAGGCATGTAACCCAACTGCATTCTGTAGGATTTAGATTCCCTCTTCAGACTAGGGTTCTTAAATAGGCACAGAGAAGAAAGTGGTCCTGTAGTTTTCTGCCTCAGCCAACCACTCCCATGAAACTATCCTGAACAAGAAATGACCCAGCTGTCTCCAATAGCTGTTGTCAGATTTTCTTTAAAATAGTATAATTGAGACAAACAGCTGTCTCAGCAAGCAAATGTGCTGACTAAGCAACTGATTTCTAACAATCAACTTTACAGAGCAGAACTGTAGAAGTATATTGCAGAAGTCAGGTGGGAAGATTGTTTAATTCTGGAACAGTGAATGCCCTTGAAGGAAGCCTGGATAGAAATGAGTCCTACCTATGGAGTAACTCTAAAAATCATAGTTAAAAAATAACTCCTCACTAATTCCCCCTTATATGTTTTATTTTTTATGAGCCAAAGAGCTTTTTTTTGTTAAATGTTCAGATTCAGCCCAAATTACTTTTAGTTGCATTTCATTTTCAGGTTTTGAATGTTTTAAAAAGCTTTAAAATTGCATGGATGGCAAAAATTGTTTATTTTTCTTTTTAGTACAACTTTAATCATGTATTTTTAGCTATAAGTAAAGGAACACTAGCAGCAGCTATTGCTGTAGACAGACACTTGAAAAGTGAGTTATTTTAAACGTTATGGTAGTTTGTGCAATTTTAAAGTTATACCCTCTTACCAGTTCCGGTTGTACAAGATTCAAGTGCGAGTCTGAAATATACCAACTTCTTAAAGTTTTGGGTGTTTTTTAATGTGCTTAGAGAAGGACTCAGCAAACTTTTTATTTTAAGCATAGTCTAGCAGGGTCTTCTGTCTTAAATGCTCTCCTGTTTGTGGGAAACCCATATCAGTGTAATCGTCCATTATAAACAAATGCTTGTATATAGTATATTTGTGTAGCTGATAATGGCTACCTGGCTCCATATGTAGCCAGTGATCCAATCACTGTTTTCTTTAGGGCCAACTCAATTCTGTGCTCTCACTTTAGGTAATTCAAAGTTGGTAATTCCTCCTGAATTTCCTCCTGAAACTCTCATTCTAGTGCAGATAGACTGATCAAGGATCATTGGGTTTTGGCCCTTCTTTGATCTAATTTGGCATCATCTATTGCACTAGAGTTGATTTCTGCTAGAATTGACCATGTACAGCGTAACATCACACTACTGAATCTTTTGTCCTTACATCACTGCAAACAGAATGCCCGTTAGGCAGTTTTTTATTTTAATGTGCCTGCCTTTTGAATATGTAATTGTTTCACCTTAACTGAAGTGACAGATAAAGCAGTTGGTTCTGGTTCCAACCTTCCGTACCAAATACTTGACTAGGAGGGAGAAGTCCCAAATTCAAAGCGACAGGCTACCTTCAACTGAATTGATTAGTTTTTGCTTTTTTGAATGAAACAAGAATACTAATTCCAAATATTCTGGGGTGAGTATTTCTCCTTGTCAAACTGTGAGGTGTGGGAACACAATATGCTTAATTTCCTACACAAATACACTTTGTAGAAGTCAAGTATCATTCCCTCTCTGTCCTAACCCCCAACCAAAAGGCAAGACACTACTGCAATTACGATTTACAGTAAATCAAATCACTCTAATGTGCGTTAGTCATGTTCCAGAAATACTGTTGGATATAGCTTGGGGAGACAGCCTAATTTTTTTAGCTTGAACTGGGTCAATTCTAAGCAAATGCAGTAGTACAACCTTAATAACCCGTGGAACCTGGTAAAAACTCGTTAAAATTATGTACTTCCAGCATAATGGCCAGCAGATGAGGCTGGGACAAGTTGTATTGTTCCATGCTGAAAGCAAGTGCATTTGTAATTCTAAGGGTAATATATGAGAAAAAAAAAAAATCTCAAAAACATGTAATACTATTTCTGAAGTGCATTATTCCTAGAGTAAATCTGAATCTCTCACTGTACCTGTCACAGAAGTTGGAAGGGTGTTTGACTTTTTTAGCTGCTCCCTTCTTTCTAGTCTTGATACAGCAGTCTCAATTTTCTTCTCTCCTTCCTGAGGTGTAGATTTCTGCAGTGTGCTTGTTTTGCTGCTGTTGGTTTTATTATCTGACTGATAATTTGCAGCAGCCTAGAACAGAGAAGGAAAACTGCTAAACGAGAAACAGTCTGTCATGTAGTGGCCACAGGTAAGAGATGTCACACTTGATGCTTTCATTCATCGCCTGTCCTTTCCTTAACCTTCCTTTTCAGCAGACTCAAAACACTCTGATACTTCTAAAAGTAACATGTATTAAAGATCGTAGAAGAAACCCCACAAAGTTAAATTTGTCATGTTGTCATTTCCATCAAAATATTGAACAGTTTGAGCCAGCCCTGCCTGTTAAATACAGCACTGAAACAGTGTGCATCTGTGGGCAACTTCACACCCACTGCTGTTTTTTTTTCCACCAGTTACCTATGTCTGTAATATGCACATGCCATCAGAAATCTGGGTCTCATAACAAACATCAAAATATACTCAGCCACATAATCTCCCTTTTATCATCTGTGGTACCTATATACAGCATTACTTCTGTACTATAAGAAGTGTTTTTCTTACTAATAGAAAACCATGGAGAGTAAATAGCTATTTAGAGAACAGGAAACAAGTGATACTTGAATTCAGTGCCTGCTTTAGGCATTTGGGTTGCTTCACGTGACTGTTCACTTCTTTTATTCATCTACATTTTAACCAAATAATAAATTGCAAAAAAAAAAAAATTAAAACTCACTAATATTAACCTGTATTCACCTATGAATGAGTACTTCAGAGGTTATTCCCCAAGCATTAAGGCTTAACATCTACTCAAGCTTTGACAGAACCCTGTTGCATACAGTTTTTCTGCTCCATCACCTGCGCAGTGGTTGTGCTTATGATTGCCATTAACTACCACCTTATATTAAGGCATCAGAGCTTACACTAAAATTGTCACACTATTGCACAGTATTTTCTCCTGACAGTCTCAGGTTTGCAAAAGGCAACTTCAGACTTTCAGACTACTTTTTACCCACTGACATTTTAGCTTTTATGAAATCTTACAAACCAAACAGAAAAAAAAATTAATCCCTTTCATGTAAGAAAACTAGCAAACAGCTATAATTATGGTATCACTATTTCTAATGGTCAGGTTTCTAAAGATTGTTTACATTTTCTTTAGCCAGCTTCTCTGCTTGCTTTGCCTCTCTGGCTTGTCTCCTCTCTTCCCTCGTAGCTTGCTGCTCACGAAATCCCTTTTGCTTTTGCAGTGCTAATGTAATCCAAAGTGGTTGTGAAGTTTCAACTTTTTCCATCAATTTAGAGCCATCTAAAGAGTGCCTGCTCTGGAGGATTGGCTTTTCTGAAAGAAAACATGGAAAGAGTTGGTTAAGTAGTGCACACATCTCTTGTCTCAAGCAAACCAGTACAACTTCTCTACCTGGTGAAGACTCTGAAGCAGAGCACACTGAATGCCATGCCAGTCGCAGACCTTTGCGGACTGTATGTCAAATCCTGAAACAGTTCTTATGCCTCAAGAATGAGACCTAATTCAACACACTCATACAGCTGTCCAAATTTGTCCTTTTTTTTGGTGAAAAAGCGTATCCCAGACTCTTAGACCGATAGCCTAATTTACTACACGTTTAAGTGAAAGTGCATTAATTGTTTACACCTCTAATGAAAGGGATCTGGCCACTATGTACTACAGTTCCTTGATTTTCCAGTCATATTTAGGGGAAGAAATCCAAACTTCAGCAAAATAAAGGGCACTGAAATTATATACTGCTATGAATTCAGACCCTCTTTAAAAATGTGGGGTGGTGTGTTTTGTTTTTTTTTTAAATCATCACTTGAGCATTTGACTTTCTGTACACTGCATGAAACCGGGGCTAGCACCCAGTCTAGAGCTGTGAGTGGCAGGGAGCAGCTCTGGGGTGCACAGGTGAGCTCAGCAAGCACAGAAACCCACCACTGGCCCGGGCCCTGCTCTCCCAGGCTGGCAGCTGGGCCTCCAACTAGTTTCCGTACATCCTCATTTAAAAAGGGAAGGGAAAGGAAAAAGTATAAAAAATTGTAAAAAACTAAGCAGCAGTTCCACTGAGATATGGTTTTAGAAGTGTCTTGATCCTTGCAAAATTCAAGAATGGAAAAAAATGGGATTTCCCAATTAAATGCTGAATTTCTGCCTTGCTCTTTTGAGTGTCCTTACGCTGAAAGAGTAATTTTTGCTCTTGTACAGAATACTATCTCAGGGCTTTCAACCCCTCTCTGAATAGCCACTCTGGCTGCTGTAATTGTTTCTGTTACTGAAGACTGTCTCTGAAATGCCCAGCTATATTGGGTTAGATAGTTTACCCAGGATAGACTCTGTAAGGGGACCTAAATCTCAGTATCATTTAAGCTAGATAGTATTCCCCTAAAAAGTAGAAACAATGTAAATTATAAAATTATAAAAATTATTCCCTCTGATTAAAACCATTACACATGGAACACAGAGTCCATCATCTGCCTAGCTAGGTAAGATCTCTATCAAGAAAAACACACACACACACTTCAGTTACCTCCCTGAAATTAACTTAAGCAGGTCACACTGAGTTTGTGTGTTTCTGAATTAAATTGTGGGGGTGGGAAGTCCCATTCATTCAGACAACCCAAAGCAAAACAGAGGTACTCCACAAATAATATGCCAGGTAAAAATTATCACTTAAAACCAAATGTCTCCCTCTGGACCTCCGGTATTTAGTTTTGGAAATGCAGACAATAGCTAAATGACCTTTGAAAAATACATACCTTTCTTCAGTGGCTCAGGCTTTTTGTCATTTTTTTCTCTCCATGGAATACTTATAGATGGGAAAAATGACTTCTTTTCTCTGATTTCCTCCTCATCATTTTTGTTCTCACTGGACGGGGCAGGGTGTACAGCATTTGCTCTGTCTTCTTTTCTCCAGCCACCATCTGATTCAGCTTTAGCCAGCCTTTGCCCCAGTGTATCAGCTAGGTTTGATCTGTTCACTTTAAAGAGAGGAGACGATGGCGGTGTTTGGCTGGTGGGCTTGGGAGCCAAAGCAGGTTTCTGTGAGACCAGTGACTTGCATGCTGGTTTCTCATGAGGGGGTGAAGCACTCTGGCCAGTGGCTGGTAGGACTACTGGTGTGCCTGCTGGTTGTGAAATCTCTATCACAGTAATTGAAGAGGCTTTTGAGTCTTTTAAATTACCAGGGACGTTCACTCTTCCAGTGCCAGGCGATGTACTCTCCTGTGGAACAAAACCAGTGGATTCTTTCTCACCTTCTGTTGTAAGTAGTGGGTCAGGCACACCATCAAAACTGTCTCCCGCACTGTATCTTTTCTTTTTCCTTTGCTCTGCCTGTTGATCATAATGGAAACGTAAAGAGTAGTTTGTCCTTCGTAACTTTATCCCAAAAGGGGAAACATTTTCTTCTCCATTTGGTGCTGGTTTATCTGCTTCTTTTGTGCTGTTATTCTGCTGATTTTCCAGAGCACTGGGAAGTTCTGGCTGGGGTAAGTCTTTACCTGGAGAATGAGGAAAACATGGAACAAGGAAAGATGGAAGATCTTTTGCAAATTTACAGCCGTCTGTGTTGTCTGTCATTTCACTATGGGTTTCCATTTTCTCCTTAGCCTTTTCAGCTAAGTTATCCCTAGAAATGGAAGCCACATCCTCCTTCGAGTCAGGGGATGAGGCAGTGATTCTTCCCACAGCCACTGTGTCATTGCCTTTGGCTGTACTTACATTTTCAGTGTCTGAATTGGTTTTTGAAGCTTCTGAGAATTTCTGCCATGCTGGTGTTATCGAGAACTTTGCATTTGCAGAGAGGGTTTTCCTCAAGTTACCATGGGGAGCACCCCGTCCTCGAGGTGTCCAGTCATCACTGTGTCTGCAGACACTTACTCGGTCTCTCTCATTGTATTTGCTGTTTTCTGCGTTCTTTAGGATCCTGGAGCGGATAGAAGCCCACTCAGCTAGCACGGCCTGGTTGTTCAATGCCTCCTGTGCATACTTCATTTTACTGCTGCTGGGTTTGGGATCCTGGGTTTTTTTCAGGGCCTTCTCTGGTGAAGGAATATCCACATTTTTTCTCTCTTCTGTTAAGCCAAGTAATGATTTACAAGCTGTGTCCTTTATCTGGTTCAAGTTAACTGCTGTGCCACACAGCTGTGCTCCAGTGACCAAAATAGCTGTATGGGGTACACACACAGATGATGGGAGTGTGTGAGAGCCCTTGCTGGCAGTGTGCATCCTGCAGTCTTTGACGGATGGAGAAGAGAGTCCTGCTCCTTTCACAGGCATGACTGGACTCAGATTTACTTTCTGAAATATGATCTGTTTATCTCCAGAAGACACTTGAAATGTAAAGGGTCTGGATGCAGTTTGTCTTTCATCTACCTCTTGCCACCTAAGTTCCTCCCCTATTCGCTTTTGCTCTTGAGCTTCAACTTCTCTCTTCAGTTTCTGGGCTAGGATTTCTTCTGCTGTTTTATTCTCTTTTCCTGGCTGTTTGAGTTTTGGGGATCTTGATCCTTCGTAGAGCTTCTCCTCTACTGGATGACTATCAGCCCATCCAGGACACAACTGATCCTTGTCCTCTTGCTGTTCCAAGGATTTTTCTTGTTGCTTTTGCTGAAGATTTTGACCTTCTGTGTCTACATTCTGCTCTTCCAGCTTGTTCCATTCTTGCTCATTTTGTTCCTTTTGCTGCTTCCGTTCACCTTGTTGCACATCCTCTGCACTTTCCATGTGCATTTGTTTTGTGAGCTTGTGTTTTCTCTGCTCTTCCCGTTTCTTTTTCTTATCCACTAGTTGCTGGGGTTGTTCCTTCTCTGTCTTTTCTCCTTTCTCCTTCAAATGCTGCCTTTGTTCCTCTTGTTTCTTCTGTTGTTTGAGGCTCTCAGCTTCTTTCTCCTGTTTTAGGTTTATTTCAGCTTCTCGAAGCTCTTTCTCTTCTTGCTCTTGTGTCTGTTTTTCTTCCTTATTTTGTTCCTTGAGGTTTTTTTGTTCCTCCAGCTGATTTGTTTCTTCTTCCTCTTGATGCTGTTTTTCAATCTCATGTTGCCTTAATTCTAGCTCTATTCGCTTCTGCTCCTCCAGCTCTCGTCTCCGTTTCTCCTCCAGCTCCTTGTGCCTCTGCTCTTCCCATTCCTGATGCTTCTGCTCCTCTAGCTCTTGCTTCTTCTGCTCTTCCAACTCTTGATGTCTCTGCTCTTCCCGTTCCTGGCACCTCTGGTCCTCCAGCTCTCGTCTCTGTTGCTCCTCCTGATCCTGGTGCCTCTGCTCCTCCTGCTCTTGTTTCTGTTGCTCCTCGTGTTCCTGGAGCTTCTGCTCTTCCCGCTCTCGTCTCTGTTGCTCCTCATGTTCCTGGAGCTTCTGCTCTTCCCGCTCTCGTCTCTGTTGCTCCTCATGTTCCTGGAGCTTCTGCTCTTCCCGCTCTCGTCTCTGTTGCTCCTTCTGGTGCTGGTGCTTCTGCTCCTCCAGCTGTTGTCTCTGTTGCTCCTCCTGATGCTGGTGCTTCTGCTCCTCCAGCTGTTGTCCCTGTTGCGCCCCCAACTCCTTCTGCCTCTGCTTCTCCAGGTGCTGGTGCCTCTGCTGCTCCAGTTCAGTCTCCAGAAGTCTTCTCTCCTCTTTATGGCATGTTTGCTGTTCTATTTTCAAAGATGTCTCTCCTTCAAGGAGATACTGCCTCCTCTCTTCTTCACGCCTTCTCTCCTGCTCTCTTTGCATCTGCTCAAGTTCTTGGCACCTTTGTTCTTCCATTTCTCTTTGTTCTTCCATTTCTACAATCTGCCTTATCCTTTCAGCCTCAAAGATCCCCCAGTGATCTTCAATTCTTTTCTCCTGTGACAGCTGAAGCTTCTTCTGCTCCTCTCCATTCTGGATTAGCTTGTCTGCTGTGATGTGCCCATTATAACCTGGGTATCTGTCTCCATACAGCTGAATGTCTAGGTCTTCTGGCTCAAATTCTGTTATTGTTAAACTTTGTGATCCCTAAAATTGGGAGACAAGTTTGGAATGACTGAATATTGCCTATTGGCTTGTTATTCTTTATAGAGAACAAACAATCAGTTGCAAATGTAAAAAAAAAAAAAAATAAAAATCAGGTTTTTTTTTTTTAAGAACAACGATTTAGATCCAGAGCCAACATACCCCAATTTATGCATCACATCATCATATATCCCATGCCTCTCACCTATTTGGATCATAGCCTTCAAAAGATGGAAAACATCCCAACAGTGATAACAGTATAATGCTAAATATTGAATCACCATTTGGTGTCCATGAGCTAATTCAGATTGAGACCTGCCATTTCAAATTTACAGAAGCCCGAGGAATAGAACACAAGTTTCATATGCCTGTTCTGCTACTTAGAACTCCATCCTTTAAGCCTGAAATAATTATCACTGGCTTAAGGGCACTGTTTTGCCAGTTATTTCATGGCAAATCTAGCTGTTACTTGCAGAGACAGAAGCTGTTGCCTGCATAAAAGAGCTCTGCAGTGCTAGCCAGGAAAGAATGCTGCTCAGGGAAACAGAATTTGGTTTCTTTTCACAGATCCTGAGCCAGGATAGCTTCTTCATTATCCGTGCTAAGACTCCAGTTCTATTGCAGGAACTGTGTGATCATGCATGGACGGAGAATTTCAGCTCCCCAGCAACACTGTACTGTACTGTACCGAGACATTGGTAACTCCTGACCAGTTCTCCATGCTTGCCCCACAGCCCTGGCATGTGCAATACCTGCAATAATCTGAATGCAGATCTTCTTCACAGCTTACTCCATGTCTCTGTAGCGACATGGTCCGAAGATGAGCTGCACCTGAAGAGGGCTTCACAGCACTTTCCTTGAGAAAAACAGCTCAGCTAATGCCCTGTCTAGCTATCATTTATTGAGCCATCATTTGGCTCCAGTTAAACATTCTGTATAAACTAGAGGTTTAAATTTGAGTTCCCCATTGCAAGAGTGATAAATGCAAGTACAATGGTGCAGAAGAAAGGACAGTAGCCTCTCTTGAACCCTGTATTAGTTTAATAGACTTGTCCCATTTAGAAGCACTGGTGAGATGTCAGGATAAAAAACAAAATAGCCATGTAGTAAGTGTATGTACAAAGTGAGGATTTGATAGTTCACTCTAGCTGTAGCAAGAGCTGTGTTACTTAAGTCTTACTCTTTCTTATAAGACTTATATTATCACTGTCAGAACCCATGCCAGTTTTAGAGAATCTATTTTTTTTCCTGATTGCCTATACTAGAGCAGCATTAACAGTGACAGATAACCTTCAGACTTTTATGACCTGATTTTTTTACTAGAAAATCTAGAATCAGAAAGGTCTCCCAATGTAAAATCCTAGTGGAAGTACCTCAGGTGTTTGTCTCAACTGGCTATATTAAAACTTCTTTGCATCTTCTCTCCAGCTAGGATTCTATCTTTAGGTCTCTGTCTTGTTTTCAAGACAAAATGAAAGAAGCATGCATTTTTTTTTGCCCTGGAGACACAAGATTTGTTGAAGAAGCTTTCAATAGCTATCTCTAACAACGTTAATCACATCTTAAGACAGTCCTCTGTTTATAGCTACTTCTGGTGCACTCGGTTGTGGTTATTTTGTACCCAGCTTCAAAAGCAATGCCACTCCTCTCACTATTTGACCAGTGATTCATTACCTTTGTTAATCTCTTGTGCTTTCTTGACATCCTCTGCTTTTTCGGCTTCACAGCCAGCTTGTGTTTAGCTGCACTGTTGTCTAGACGAGCAACAGCCTGGGGAACAGCATCCAAATTGATTGTTTCAATTGTACCAGAACAGGAAAATTGTCTTTTTGGCCGAGATGATTTGACTGGAGTGACCTGTTTGTATCACAAACACAAGAAGCTATTATTAAGGTATTTCTTCCATTTAAATAAATAAATAAATAAATAACACATGCACACACACACATTTTCCCATTTCCAGTACTAATGTTTTTATACTTCTCACTTAAAAATTAGACCATTCTATCTGAAGTTTTTTCACAGTTTAGCTCCACTCACAAGTTGTTGGGAAAGGGAACGGCAGAGGCAGGGTTTTAAGCAGCATCGAACACTGGGACATTTTAAAGTTCGCTTACTGTGGAAAAAATATCTCCATCTTCAAATAATGTGGATTATACACTTTAGGCAAGAACAAATCAGATGGACTTGTCTAAGCATTATAATCGAACAGCTCCAGAGCTATACTGTCTGCATGGGAGATGACTACGGTATTGGATCTCAGACTGGCACAGTGCCTGCGGAAAACCTTCCCTCCACAGTCAGGTGGAGTTGTCCAAGCTAGCACCAAAGAACAGCAAAAAATAAGACAATACTGGCTTTGATTGGTGCTTTTTTCTCTTGCCCTTCAAATATCTGGGTTCAGAAAGTGCAAATACAAGCAAAGTGCTTTAGTGAGACTCCTCTCATGAATAAATACAGTGGAACTGTATGTCTAGATGTGTAAGAGTAACCCTGTAATCAGTTTCTCCCATAAGTCACTGAGCTATCATCCTGAGACTTGTATTTGCACAATCCAAGTGGAAAAAGAAAACAGAAAAAATAGAAGGGAGAGAAGATCTTCTGTAAAGAAAAAAAATCACATACATTGTTTTCAAGACAGCTCTGTAATCTTCTGAGGTTAAACATATGCTAATCAGGGAACCAATTACTTAAAAGCTGATGGAACATTTTGCATACGCTTATTGAATTACATGTAAGCATAACAAAGGAGTAGAAGTACTTATGAAAATTATGGCTCTATGATTAATACATCAAATGCAAGAATGGTGCAAGACTGGCAGAAACCGAGTTCTGATGTTTGCTGCAATCAGCTCTTACAGGTTTCTCAATCTTAGTTATTGCTTATTTACTATCCCCAAAGCTGCACAATGTTCACAAAATCTTGGATGATCAATGAAATAGTGAAATATGTACTAAAGCAAAAAACTGACTCTCATGCTTCTAATAACTAAAATTAGAAAGTAACAGTGCGAACCAAATGTAAAAGTTTTTTTTACCTTTTCTTCCACTTCATGTCCTATTCCAGGCAAAGTCATTGCTCTCAACAAATCTGGAGTGTCAGTGGACTAGAAAACAAGATTACCACAGCTAGATATTAAAATGTAAAGGATCTAATAAATATGGTTCAAAGAACTTGTGAAATCATGCATGTAGGGTTTTTACCCTATTTCCTGTCACTGCAGGATTGATGGATAGACAATTGATGTTCCTAAATGCTATATATTTCTCTTTGCTGCACCTTGAATCACTGCTGTCTATACAGAAGCAGTTGCTGCTATAAGGCACTACGAAACGCAAAACACTCATGCTTCCTTAACAAGATAACCAGGTTCCAAATAAAAAGAAAGAGCACAGCTTTGTAGAATTTCAGTCATCTCTTGATAACTTTATTTTCTCCTGACCTACACCTAAGGAAAAAATAGAGGAATCTGATCAGACATTATGCTGCTGCAAAGAGTTGCAACTCCAGATTCCTGATGACTCCTCTTCTTAGAAAGCAAGCTGGCTCCGGAGCCTGCCAGTCACTATGATTCCTTACCCCCCGTCCCTCTCCAAGCCATTTCACAGGAGTGGAATTTTAAGGCGCAGGGATTGAAGCAGCATTCATCACTCCCAGAAACATTGTTTTTAATCATTATATCACAGTATTACTTCATAACCTAATGAATGTTGGGATCCCCTTATACCAGGTGCACATGATCATTGATATGAAGCCTAAAAAATCAGCTTTACAAATACAGGTTAAATGAAACCCAGAACTCTTGCCATCGATACAAGTTACTCAGTCGGGAGAATCAGAAGTCACAAAGTAACACAGGAAACCTGTCTGAAGTTGAGCAGTGCTATGTGTTCCTGGCCACCAACTCCCAGCACAAGCCACCCCGTCTCCCCAGGACCTATGCAGATAAACATGCAGAGGAGTTACAAGGCCAACAGCAGAGACAGGAGCAGAAATTAGGCAAGCTGCAGCACACCAGAAATTTCTGATAAAGCAGGGAATGAGTAGTGCACAGAAAGAGAAAAGGGAAGTACTGAGTGCTCTGGCCAACCCTATGCATGTAGCACTGGTATCTGCAATTTCTTCTGAGTAGGGATGTTTGTTCCTTTAGTATTTGGAGAAAGAATTATGCAAAGGGGCATTAATTTTGTTTTCAAAACATAGTATTTAAAAGTGTAAGTGGTAAGGACTGAACCTCTCCCTCCTTATTACACAAAGATACTCTAGTGGGTTCTTAGTTTTCTCCTTTGAGCCGGAGGTCACTAGGTGACACGACCCAGCAAAAAGGCTGTCTGCAGAGAACCTGTGCTTGTCTCAAACACAGTCTTGCCTAGTACCAGGATACATAGCCAAAATCTGTCTGCAGTCCCACTGCACTCTGTGCTCTAAGGCATGCAGGATAATCTTGATTCACGTTAACTGATTGCTTCAGAAAGGAGTGTTTGTGAAGCAGAATAAATGTACCACACTTTGGCTTAATTTTTAGCCTTCCAGACTGCAGAGGGAGAAGCGTGAGCGTGCAAGTGCCTGGCTCCCTGACAGAGCTGACCACAGCCACAAAGGAAGTAGTCACAGAGGAGCTATGTTGCCCCTTGAAGACTGATGAAGAATTTGGGCCTCCTCAGTCATAAATCTCCCTTCTATGTGTTTGGCTGAATATAGGCATGAGCTGCAGAGGACACTTACTGGCTTTGCCTTTCACACAACTAGCACTAGTGCTGGTGAACACAAGTGGAGGTTCATGCCCCAATGTCCCTCCAGGATTTTAAGGGCTGCATGCACGTGGTGCCTCCCTCACGGGTTTCTAGGCACAATGTCAGCCTCCCATCAGGGAAGGATGTCCCTCTGTCCCCCGTGCTCCCTTCAGCCAGTACAGCAACACACAGAGCCACTCTCGCCTTACAGGATTTCAGAGAGCTTCCATCACTCGCCATGCTTCTTTGCTGTCTGAACAAGACACCCAAATGCCCACAGTTCCTGGTATCAAAATCTTCATGGATCATTTGAATAATTATTTGAATTATACTGGATGTCTGGATTTAGGGAGCATCCTCAAAATGTTTCTTCCCCTTCTTTGACTTCACTTCCTATCCATGAGAAATATGGATATTTACTCCAAGACCCAGGATTTTACAGATTTAGGCTCCAGACCTCTCTCATTTTTGAATTATTTTTCCTTTTTGACATTTGATGCTGTGCACAACTTTCCGTTCTGAGATGTCCATATTTCAAGACATTTTTTGTCTCAGAAAAATTTCCTGTCTTCTAGCTAAACTGAGAGTGATGTCTGCTTTGCTGGAAGTTCAGAGCAGATGTTCAAACTGGTAATTCTGTGGGACTCAGCTTAGGATGCCAAGAGCACACGCTTCTCACCAGTCCAAGAAGCACGAGCTGACTGATCCCACCCACATAAAACAGCCCACTGAGACATCTGCTACACCCCAGTGAACTTCACTGTTTTAATATCACTATAATGCCATTAATACATTGATTTAAGGTGCTTACTTTATTGCTGCTGTCTGAGATCACTGTGTCCTGCTGAGTCTCAATCTCCATGGGGCTACTGAGCGACACATTCTCTTCTACACTAGTGTTTGCCTCCCCCTTTGTCCTCACAGAAACTGTCATTTGTGGAGGCTGCCCAAATTTTATATTCTTGGCCAACTGTTGCTGCAAAACAAGAAAAGAAAAAAAAGTATTTATATTATGAGCAAAACAAGCCAAGTCTAGCACACACCCCTTCTCCACATGAAAGCTGCACAGAAACACTTGGAGCAACATCTGACTCTGGACAAAAAGATTAACCCAATGGAGTGGGAATGTCAGGTACATACATGGACACAACCCGAGTTTGCCCCTGAGAACTGCAGAAGATTATGGTAAAACAAAGATGTATCTCTAAACACGGAATCAGTAGTGTGGCTTAGGTGAGCAGCTGGCAAGGGAAGATATCCTTTAGTAGCAGCAGGGGGACCTCTAAAAGGATTCAGGTCAGATCACTCTTGCTTGCTGTCATTACCCAGCGGAGTAGACTCTTGTATAAAGTTTGTCCATATTATCCCAAAACATTACCAGGTTTTTGTATTGAACTATTAAGACAAAAAGAACATGCAGAGACTCCTCATAATCAGGTTATTAAATTAGAATAATTTTTCTGAGTCTCCTCGTCGAGTTACACACTATTTGTGCCCATTTGGATTTTCTCTGAAAGTAATCTAGTACATCATTTTGGCATAGTGGTTAGTTTTTATTCCTGCCAAGACTACTGGCAGTGTACCCATTGTCTAAAGGCAAGGGTTCCACCAAGTCCTCCCAGGCTTTCACGCTAGCTGAGCAACTCTCTGACTTGAAATCTCATATGTAAATGGGTGCTGGAGAAAGCAAATGGGTCTGTATTAGATAGTGTGAAGGCTGTAATTCTGCTCTATTCCTG